CTAGTGAATGGCAGATTAGGTTGCGGGTAGCTTACTCTTACCCGAAGCTTGGTCAGGCCCGCCCGATAACTAACCCGACTAAGGGCTTTGGCCTACCTTACCCTAGTTTTGTCCGAAATAAAATTCACGAGCCTAGTCCCGACCCAGCCCATGGACATCCTTAACTAATTTGTTTGACATAATTTGTTAACTTAATTAATCACAACCATTGAATTTGATAGTAAATCACAATGAATACTGAGACTCATTGTCTATCCAATAATTGTGATTTATGAATGATTATATTATCAAATTAGTTCAAAATAACATTACTAGAATAAAAAAAACAGAAAAGAAGATGAACTATTGTTTACTTTAACAAACTAATCATACTACACACACCCATTTCTTCTCTCCCTCTTTCTCTCTCCTACTAATTTGTACAGATACGTCCCCTTACTTTTACAAATATGTCCCTTAGGCGAGTTATGTCTAGGAAGACGAATGATCTATGCCTGAAAGTAGTTGCTAACTTTACTTGAGCTCCTATCTCGATGGCACTTTGTTGTACTAAAAGAGGTGCCCAACCCCAAGGGATGATTCTTGATGGGACATTTCTAAAATACTTCAAGATGAAGACACGTGTCCTTGGTATCACTAAATCCTTGTTACTGAGATCACGTACCCATCGGTTCACAAGTCCCTCTCCCCCGAGGTACTTGTCATAGGGATCAAGTGACATCTAGTACGTTTACGTACCGACACGTATCTCTCGGTCTGATAAGGGTACATCGGTCGCTATATGTACCCCCTCTCGGCTCCGAGATGTACCTCCCCTCTCGACTCAGAGATGTACCTCCCCCTCGATACCGAGGTATACCTTTCGTCCAGGATGGCGTTCTCCGCTCCTGCAGAGGCTATTGATGTACAGGTCACTAGCCTAGGCTAGGTTAGGTTAGCTACCATGACCTTGTCTTACACAATTGGTGTCAGAAAAGACACAGGAAGGCAGGGGACGCAGCCAATGGGGAATGGACGTGTGGCATATTGTGTCACATCAGAGACAGAAAGACCGGATGCCCTTGCTGACACACGACTTGAGAAAACAAGCATTTAATTACACCATTCCCTTGATGAAACAACATTTAATGCGGTAAGACTCAAAAGTGAAAGGTAATAAATGTCTCTAAGGCTGGACATTTATTACGTCCTCCCCGAGAAGAGCTCATTGAACAGTCGGCAGACCGATGACATAGCCTTGGTTGCTCGGGATCCCGAACAGTTAAAAGAGAAGACATTCCTCATAGGAAACCGTGCACACGTTGCCTGTACCTAATGATCACCTACTGACCACACTGACAGCAATCATGAGTTTTTGAGGTATAAATACTCCTCGCAAAAGGCAAGACGGTATGCAACGAAAAACCTTTGCTACGAATTATACTCAATATTTTCTTCTTCCTCTCTCTCAAAAATTGACTTGATCGTAGGAGGGGATACGCCGAAAAACACTCCGGCGCCCTTCTAATTTGTCTTTCTTTGTTCCAGGAACCTTCCTCAACTTTACTGGATCGTTCCATTGATCCACGAGGGTCTCCCATTACCGTTTCAGGTTACCACCGGATCTCACAGGCTGTTTCAAGCAATAGGGTTGACCACTTGACTGACTCACTTGAGTTCACCAAAAGAGAGATTTGTTCTCGTGTTTATATTGTGCAAGATCCAGCACGCACAGTTCCCTAACAATAAGATTAGCNTGTTCTCGTGTTTATATTGTGCAAGATTCAGCACGCACAGTTCCCTAACAATAAGATTAGCTTTTCGCGAATGTATTCTAAAGTTTTTTTTTTATAGCTTAATAAAGAAAGGTAAAGTCAAAGAGCAGTCCTCCTACCTTCAACGACGTACTTCTTCTGCATTTCTTTCCCCAAGTCGTGAGTAATGTGTTTCAATCAATCCCTTCTCTTACAATTAATGAATAAGTGAGATAGATATTGTTACGATTAACCATTAATTTGTCTCATTTATGTAATTCAAAAGATAGTGAAAAAATGAGTACAGAAAAAATGAGAATGTAAAAGTGGAAGTATGAAAAAAATTAGTTAAAAGAGAATAGATTAAGATAGTCTGATTATATTCAACGAAAGTTAAAAAAAAGTGATAAAATTTATCTTAATGGTATTATAAATAGAGATCGATCTAAATTAACATTAAATGAAATAATAAGAAAAAATATAAAAATATTTAATTTAAATAAGTGTATAACACATGATCGAAATAAATGGTGAAGACGGACTCATATAATCTACTCCAAATAATTGAGACAAAAAGACTTGGTTTGGTTGTGTGATTCAGGGGANTAAGTGTATAACACATGATCGAAATAAATGGTGAAGACAGACTCATATAATCTACTCCAAATAATTGAGACATAAAGACTTGGTTTGGTTGTGTGATTCGGGGAATAAATTGAAATAATTAAAAATTTTAGGGATAATTTAAAATAAATGTCATAATTTCTGGGACATTTATAAGATTACCCAATATTTAACGCAAAGCCTATATGTTAATCAAAAGCTACTTTGTCGATCATCTGGCCATTCTCAGGCGACATATGCATAAAATTTTCCTTTCTTCAAAAAATTTCAATGTTAGACACCCACACGATACGTCAGCAAAATCTCCGGCCACCGGAACAAAGAAAGTTGTTTCATGTTTCGCACCACTATGATTCGCAGCTGGAGCTGCTCTATGATTTGCACAGTATCTCTCTCTCTCTCTCTATATATATATATGTAGTCTATATGTATACATGTGTATGTGGCGTTGGTACAAATTCTTGCATGACTCAAGGATTTCGGCTGACCTGAATTAACCTTGGTTGAGTTAACCCTTGGGCGACTCTTCAGTAACTTTTACCTCCGTCCCATATCGGGTAGGAGTCGTCTCCTCCAGTTACATAAGTGAACACTTTCTATGAAAAAGGTACCAACTCAAAGAGACGATTCCTACCTGATGTGAGATAGAGGTAAATAGCTACTGGGGCCGTCAAGGGGTTGGGGGGGGGGGGTCAAGGGATTAAATTAGGTCAGCCGAAATCTTTGAGTTATACAAAAATTTGTACTAACAAAAAGACGTCTTTTGGTGGACAGATTCCCTCCTTCCGAAAGGATTTTGGCTGGCCTGCCCCTTTCTTAAGGCAATACAACAGCCATTACCTCCATCCCACATCATCAGGTAGGAGTCGTCACCCCTGCCATATAAGTGAACACGCCCTGCCATACCCACTAGCCACTTGATCTTCTTTAATCTCCGATTACTGAATGTCCTATATTTGGTATAGTTGCTTCTGAAAATTCGGGCATCACAGCAGGCTTCTTTGTATCTTAATGTGTTGTCTAGAAAGGATAATTGGGCTAGGGGTATCGGAAATTACGGGCCTTTGTTCAGAATTTGAATTCATATGTCTCATGTCTGGTTGGTTTGCTTTCTATATGCTTCTCACTACTCAGACTACCGACTTACCACTCGATAAATCCTCATGATGATTAATGCTTGAACTTGAGCTCATCCTGTTATGCCTGTGTTCAAAAATATATTATGAGTTATGAGAGGTACAGGATGTTATAGAGAAAGATGGTTTCACAGGCAGGATGAGAATGAGGGTCAGTAGCACATTAAATGCGCGTGGATCCACGGGATTAGTGTTAAAAATTCAGCTCTATAACAGTGAGATGGTCAGTTCAAACACGAGGGCAATTGCTTTGTGTGAATAACGTCAAATATGTATCCAATTACTTAGATTTATTTTTTTCAGTTCAAGGAGTCTGAATCTGTCCTTTCTCCTTACAACAATGTGCCTTGGCAATTCAATATATGTTCTTCAGACTCATGATGGAGAACCTTTAATGTCACTTAAGGCTGCAAGTGATTTTTGAATAATAGCCAGCCTATCAATGTTCTTGGAACTTTTGTCATTGGTGATTTCCACAAAAGACGTCAGGGGAAAGTAATCTTTGATGGGTTGGTCTTAATATGCAGTAAAATTTTGGCGTGATCATTTATGGCCACTTCCCTCTGCTCCCCTGCTGCTTTTTTGTGCAGTTGGAATGAGGAAATAAGCAAGTGGTAGTCTTTCTACTTGTGTCCAGGACTCGACAAAATAAAGCTGTATAATAACCATTCTCGAGGTTCAATGTAGTATGTGTTGGTGAGAGATGCTTGCACTCAACCTCACTCATTATTTGCAGGTGGAATGCCATGGGTCATCCAGTGGGGGAAGTGCCATGTAGCACTATGTGGCTTCGCCACATGGACTGGCTTGGTAACTTGACTAGGGAAACACATTGCCACGAGTTTTCTCATGTGCATAATGTCGGTTGGCTTGGGTGGCTCGCATAGCATGCTAATTATGCCACATGTTATGAGCAAACTGGCACCCACAATCTCGAATAGGATCGCTGGATTTTTTTTCTTGGGTTTTCCATGATCTATGATGGGTAATAGTATGCATTCGATTACTAAGGCAAAGGGTGAATTTAGAATAAGGTAAAGTGTTTAATAGATTTTTCATGTGCATTGCAATGGTTCTGTGCTATTGATTAAATTTAATCTTACAAATACTGAAAATCAAGTAGGATAACAAGTGTTAACCTGATATTTTTTTTGTTTTTCTGTGTGTGCTCATTCTAATTTGTTGACATATTCTGATTTTTGGAAGGTAAAGCACACACTCTCACTATATCAACTGGCAGCAGTAAAATGATATGTTCTATACTTGGAGGTTGTGAACTCTTATGAAGGCTAGCTTGGTACTTCCTCCAGCCTGCAGGTGTTCCATCCTTCCCTTAGATTTATACTGTTTCATCTTTGTTAATCACCAACACAACCAATGAATTTACTTGCATGTTTTAGTTAATTGTTCATGCATATGCTCCAGAGTATTATTCAATAATACATTTATTTGACTTTCACATCGCTTGCAAGATAACTTTCCAACAACTTGTCTTCAAGGTATTGGCTTATAATGCCAACAGGGAGTAGTAGGCCAATGCAATTGGCAGGGCGATGAGCAAACCAAAGATTACCCTACAACCAGAACAAAAAAAAACACAATATATCAAATTCTATTTTAATCCTTTTGACTTATTTAAGTATTGAAGATAAAGGTACTAGTTACCCTGTGCTCAAAATTTCCGGATGTATGTTATATTCTTTGGCAAATACAAATGGAACGATTCCTTGGGGAAGAGCTGCCTGCATTGCACAGACATTATTAAGCCTTATATTATATCCTGATTGTATGCTACAGAAAACAATTCTTTTACACCTGCACAATTGCCACTTTAAACACAGTTCCCTTTAATCCTGTAGCCATGGCGGAAACTGCCATCAGAGCAGGTCCCATCACAAACTTCATTGCCATCGCTAAAACTGTCATTTTGGTCCCACTTGCTATTATGCTATCCCGTGATGCCATGAAAAGACCTATAATGACACAATTGGAGAAGTTAAGGGAATTCTTTTTTGGATTTTCCTAATCCATGGCTGATGATTTTTTGATTCTACCTAAGCTGAACATGGCCATTCCCAGCCCTCCATCAGACAATATTGAGATTGACTTATCAACAATCTTTGGCAACTGTACTTTCCACCTGCACCGCGTTCACGAGGTTAAGAACTTTGTTACTATGATATCTAACTCAAAATTTCTCAATGAGGTCAGGAAACTTTTGAGTATGTTGATGCTCCCACAGGCTTACCTGAAGTGTATGCTTGCCCATATAAGAGCCAGAATAGTGGCATGAGTATTGGGGTTGGTTATGAGCTTCCTTCCCACTGTTGAAAGAACGCTCATAATTTTATTTTTTCTATGAGATCTGATGTTTGCTTCCTCGGCTTGCTCTTTCACTTGTCCTTCTTGTGGGGCCCCCAGCTCCCCTTCAAACAGAAGCAAAACATGCATTTTTAAGTTTCATGAAGAAAATGTAACAGTCACAGTCCAAGATATGTAGCAAGTATAATATCATGTTAACTATAGATCACGTGGGGGTATGTGGTGGAGTTGAGGGAAATGCTAATCTGTTGCGAAGTGATTATTGGAGCACTGATGTAGATTTAAACCGAATTTACGTTTCCGAGATTTATGTTGTGGTTGGTGCTAGAACATTGCAATGGTTTCCTTATAGGATGTAGTGCACTACCTCTTATTTTTGAAGGGAATCTTAAGAGAATCCAAAATAGGGTATTAAGGTGGTGATATATAAATGTGGAAAATTTTATTTGTTTGCAGACGAGTGTGTGCGAGCCCAACGTAGAAGCCTGTTATGTGTTGGAATTCAGGTGTGTTTCCAGGGAGGGCACTCTGTTCCTCTCTTAAAACGTGGAAAACATGCTGAGTCTTGACATTTTAAAAATCGGCCGGTGTTTGGTAAAAAATGCACAATACCTTCCGGTGTTGTAAGGGGTTTGGGTGGTTCTGAGAGAGAGAGAATTTAGTGTTTTCTTCATGGGATTGGAAAATGCTAATTTCCAGGGGTATTGTAATCTTTGTCTATTATGAATCATTAGCTGGCTGGTTTGACCAAGAACTTGTGCATAATGCTGAAGCGCCTAAATCCTTGTGTTGTTGGTTATGGTTTGTTCTTTCATTCATCTCACATTCCTAAGATTGTGCCTTGCACATGAAAAATCTTCATTTTTGCCCTTAAAAACTAAGGCAGAGTAACTTAGAAAATATTGGTTTATTCAGTACTACCCTGAATATTTTCGGTAGAGGCAATTTGACCATGTGATCGATAGCAAATAAACCGGGGACAACGATGGTATATATCAGGGCCCACAATGGAAACCTTTTTGACCAAAGTTAACTCAACATTATCAAAACCAAGTCAACAAATGGTGTTTTAAGAGTTAAAAAAAGCTTGATATAGGCTTTGATTCTATGGAATTCGTCAATCTGTCTGACATAGGTTAGTTTTAGACCACCATTATCAATTTGAACTCTGTGCGTACCTGCTGTTTCTGCTGATCTTGTCAGTGTCACATAGGCTTCCTTTGCAGCACTGAGCTCAAACTGAAACAATAGTAGGTTGTACCAAACCAGGCTTTGTAATACGACTATCTGGGCAACGAACGCGGCTGCTTTATCCCCATACATGGCTCTTAGTAGTGGAATTCCAAGGATCAAAGTGTTAGGAAGGGTTGACAGAGAGAGACCAGTTATGACCCAATTAAGGCCTCCTCGAGAGCTAATTTTGGTGATAATTGCCAGTACTAAAAATGCAAGGAGCTTTTGAAGGATATCTGCAAATACAAGATTCAAGTTCATTTTGTAAGGATTGTTTGTGGAGATCACTTGGAAGGAGAGTAGTGGAACTGAAAATTTCGCCACAAACTTGTTGATGCCTGAGCACTGATCTGGTGTGAACAGCTTCCACCATTTCACAGAGATGTAGGCTAAGATCATGGCAACATACAATGGAATAGTTGCTGTCATGACATGGTAGACATCTTTTAGGGATATCATGGCGGCTACTGGTGGAACGATGGTTGATAACTATTGCCTTTTCAGTTTGTGAAGCATTAGTTACAAGGCCTTTTATGCAATCTTGGTTGCTTTGTTTATTCAAGAAAGGAAAGGCGGAGTTTGTTTGTTCTCATAGAAGCTATCTTAAGTTTTTTCTTAATACGAATTGAGGACAATGTTTCTTACATGATCTAAAAAGTACTCATCCTTGCATTGGTTTGTAGGTTTCTAAATTGCACAATAATCTACTTTCAATGCATTTGTATATTTGTGTAGTTCCTTTTTGCTGTTCTATCTGTTTATTATTAACAATGGCAATGGTTATTATAGAATCTAAATTATTATGCCTCCCTTAACTGTCAGGGTTTATTAGTCATTATAAGCAAAAGGTTGATTCCAGTTTTCTTCATGTGGTTATATCCTTTTGGCTTATTAATTCTTTTGGCACAGAGGAGGCTGATGTATCAACCTAAACCTAGCTCAGTAGGCTTTAATTTTCACTTTTTATGATGGAAGTATTATGTTCATGTTCTTTTTATTTTCCTCTCTGTCTTAACCAAATGTTTTCTTATTAATCAATAATTGTCATTCAAGTGTTATGTTGGTGTTTCAGTAAATATATTCTGCTGCACCAAACATTGTGCCATAGTCTGCTTGACATATTTTACACTCAACTAAATTTAAACAGACAATACACCCCCAATTGATTGAAAGGGACTATTGTCAGGTTAATCCTGAATTTTCTCAACTTGTGATTAATGTTGCCTTAATTTCCTTTCAGGCTTTGTGGAAAGAGTAGGGAGGAGAATAAAGAAGTGAATTGCAAGAGAAGCAACTGAGTTGATGAGTAAATAACAGCGGTGAAGGAAGAATTTTTGCTAAGTATGGTCAAAAGTATAAGAATAAGTGTTGGAGGGAATTTGCTTTTAAAGATGTGTGATTTTTGACAGAAAAAGTCCAGATAGCTCTTTCTTCAAGTTGTCTCTGTTTTGAAATGATGCCTAGGACTATCGTTGTCATTGCACAATATCTCCATGATATCTTCTGAAGGCAATTTGCAAGAAAGTTCAAAAGTTTCTAAAGGAATTGAATCTTTCTGCTGGTGACTTGGTGAACCACCTGAGGCTGGTGAATCCCACCTGAAACTCAGACTAGTATCACATTGGGCAGTGTTTGGATGCTGAGGAAACTCATTTTCATCTGGTTAATAAAATTATAAAGTGCACTTTGATCGGTTGAATTGAAGGACATATGCTGGTTTGATGCCACTGATTCGACCTTCTACTGTTTGCACTTGTGTGGTGAAAATTGTACTTTAAGGAACTTATAATTTGTACTTTAGCTACAAGATACAGGATATATTTGTATTGTGAGACAGCTTAAACTAGAAGTTGGAAATGTTCATAACGTCGTGTACCATATTTGTATTGTTATACACATTTCTAACTGCATTTTGCCCTCAAGTTCTGATCTCCTATTTCATGATCTCTGCCATTAGTAAGGCCAGAGGGTGAATGGTCTTAATGGTTTCTATCGGTTTTCAATCAAAATTTGCTTGTTCAGCTGCTACACAACAGCGATATTCATCAGTTTCGTTGTTAATGTGCATCGAAATTATTCATCCACCATGATATCCCAGCATCATGCTTGTGCAACTATTGCTAATTAATTTGTGTTCGATACAATTCTTCTTTAAGTAAAGGAGCATCCAAGAACTGGAACTGTAGCATTTACAATATTTTCTTTACTCTTATTGTGGTACTGTTTTGTGAATAGAAGGAAGGAATGTTAGTTTAGTTAATAAACATCTCAAAACATATTCATATGAAAGAAGTTGGACCAATAAGTCTTTGCTCTCTTTTTTGTTTCTTTCCGATCTTTATAGTAAACAATCCCAAGAAGAGAGCTAAAGCATAGCACATTCCTTTCTCTCCCGGAAAATCATGGTTTCAAGCACTTTTCTCAAAAAGCTTTATGTTAGGGGTGTTACTACTTACTACTAGGCCTGTTGGTAGATTAGCAAAAGGTTTAACCAAGATATAGAATTTTTTTTTTCTTTTTTGGTTAGATGATGTTCAGGCCTACTCTGATTACTTTTTCGAATTTTGAGCCGATCATCATAATTCAAACTAATTTAAGGACATGTCTCGTAAGAGTGACTGACTCTTAAGAAAGTATCGAATTTAAGACCTCTTATTGACAAAATGACAAATTTGACCACTGCATCACCCTTAAGGGTTAAATATAGAATTCATTAATTTAAGTCCTTCGACCTAAATTTGACGTCAACTTGAGCTGGTCTTTTTTTTTTTTTTTTTGGGGTCCAAGAGATCTCTTGCTTCCAAAAGGCCGGCTTGATTATTGGACCACCCTCAAGGGTTGAGCAATACTTAACTATCTAATATTATAGTTCAGAAGTTAAATTCTCAACTTATAAAAACACAATAATGATCAAGATTGATCAAATTTTTATCTACTTGGATCTAATATTATAAAATTCATCCCAAAATTTATTTTCATGCCCAAAAACATCAACTTCTTTGCATGCCCCAATTTCAGACAATGCCAATCAACACACTCTCCAATATCAAACATTTGTATCAATATACACCTATTTCTCCTCAATTTAATTTTAAATTACGTAATTAAAAAAACTAAAAATTACTATTGCAAATATAAATATTGCATATCAATGTTTGATTGTTTGTGTTGTATAATATCTTCAGACACCAAATTATTACTTATGCTTAAATATATTTGAATCCAGTCATACAACTCGGCTTGAATTTTGTTGATGTCAGAGTTCAATGTAGGCTTGATTCTAGAATTACACAATTCAAGTCGAATTTGAACATTTAATTCCAATTGAATTTCGAAAATTTGAGATTCAAACCCTGGTAGTATCCGAGTTTAAATTGGGTTGAGATTTTTTTTTTTGGGGGGCTAATATTAACCCAAGTACTAGAAATTTATGCTTAGGTATGAATATTTCGAGTTCAATTTGAATAGTATTCAGGTAGTTGACCTGTCCAAATTACACCCTAGCTGTATATGTTATTATTGTATTTTTTTTTTCAACAGTTAAGTAAGTTTGGGTTAGTTTATGCGTATTTCGATTAATTTTTTCTTTGAACTGTTCAAAGACAGACTATTCTTGCTGGGATTAAGATATTTATGAGAGATAAATTCTCCATGCTCTGATTCAATAAATTGTAAAGATTCAAATTCAAAATGTGTATTATCACTTGAGCTACAATGGTATTTGTGCTATTATTATACGAGAGTTGAGATTCGTGGCTTTCCTTGCCTGGGTTCTAATGGGGTTGGCCAGGGTACTACGCACTTTTTCTTTGAATATTAACTTCACACCCTTTGAAGGGCCTTTTATCAACGATGAACCCCAGAGGCCAGAACCCCCATTCATTCCTCTAGCAGGGCTTAGAATCCCTCATGCAAATAGGAGATGCCGCACATGGGCTAGCAAAGCTCAAACATTTAATTCCAAAGAAGAAACTGTGTTATCCTAACAAGGTTGAACCCATACTTATTAATCTCGTATCGAATTTGTGACATTCATGAATTGAAAATTAACCACCTAATTAGCTTCCACAACAATGAAATGACCGCATTTGCGGTGGTGGTGGGGTTGTGCTTTCCTCTAGACTTTAAGGTTTTAAGAAAGAATCATCTCTAAGTAAATAAAGAGGAATGATCTTTTGGACGGAGATCCTATTCCTAAGGCATTGGATGGGCATAAGAGCCATCAAGGAGTGGCATATTTTCTGGAACAGATAAGATTACGGGCGAATTGTACATTGCTCCTCGAAAGATTTAAAAAATTTTATTTTGTACTCTCAAATATTAAACTTCTCAAATTACAACCTTGATATATTAAAAATATTACAATATGATCTTTTTGTTAACTTCCATTGTTTATTCTGTCAGTGTCAATAACATGGTGGGTTTCAACGAAATAAGTAATGGAAGAGAGGCACATTGTAATATTTTTAATACATAGAGGATATAATGTAAGAAATTCCATCTTTAAGAGTACACAGTGAAAAAACTTAAATATTTTTAGGGTGCAAAGTGAGATTTCCCCCAGTATTATTATACTTTTTTGTCATCCTTATTTTTTCATCTGAAGTGAATAGTTGTGAGAAACTATTCAGGGCTGACCAAACCGAGTCCTCTGTCACCTTTTCGAAACAACACCCCCCCCCCCAAAAAAAAAAAAAAAAAAAAAAAAACTATTGTAGGGCACTTTCTCTTCCTTTGTACTTAAAAGACACATGGACACCAATCCTTATACTTGGTGAGAACAAGATGTTAAACCGCTAGAAGGAAGTGGCTCCCCCCATTCTACGCTAATTAGTTTCTTTTTTTAGACTTTGTATGAAGCATATATAAGTAAAACGTTTTCACATGAAAATACATTGTTAAGGTTGTCTCTTCCTCACTTCTTAACACAACCGGACGGAGCCCATTATAGACGTGGGTTCGGTCTGGTTGGTGCATTAGGGTCTGAGCCCATAGAACCAGAGCGTTCGACCCCAGAACGTGACCCTTTTCAATAATAAGAAAAAACAAACATGGAGGGAACTAAGCTTAATTCGTTCCTTGTTTTGTGTTTCACTTTTGTTTCCATTGTTCCAAGCCTTATGGCTAACATTGGGGAGTTTGATGAGGTGTGGCAGAAGCGAGCAGAGGAAGCCCAACAGAACGCGCTCGAGTCCTATGTACCCCAGCCAGAAAATGTCACCAGCCACTTAAATCAACAAGTTCGCAGGTGTGTCTTTTATATGTTTTTTTTTATTGATATCCATTGACAACTATAGCTCTATCGACATTGACCTAGCGGCCCTTTCATACGAAGGGTATCATTAATTTTAATCCACTTTATAAGTCATACCCTTGTGCGTCGACACAACCACATAGCAACAACTCATTGGTTTTGATCCCATACTCAACTCAGCGTAGTGTTTGACTTCAATACTAAATGATAATACCCTATTAGTACTGAGAATTCACCTTTATAAATCGCCTTCCAAGGAAATGATACTAAGAGATCATATGCACTTATCGAAGCCTACACCATTTAGGATTACATTGGAAAGAATAATGCTAGATGAATTTAAAAAGTAGATTTAAAAATTAGATTTGATAATTTTAATTATTAAATAAATAGTGAATCCTAATAAATGCTGGGACTTACAATAAAATAAATGATTAAGATTATCAAGTCTAATTTTTAAGTGCATATAACATTGCCCCATTAGAAAACTCTGTGTGTGAGAGAGAAACACATAAAAAAAAACTTAATCACATATTTTTAACTACACAAATATTATTGAGACATAATGGATTATTACCATTGAATTGATACCGGTGGTTGGACTACTGATAAATATGAGTGTGCGTGCCCTTTCGTGGTGCAGGACTTTGGAGGAAGAATTGGGAGTGAATTCAAAGAACAGCTCAAGGAGGCAGCTAGGCAAAAAATACCGAGGCCCATGCAGGATCACCAACCCGATCGACAGGTGTTGGAGATGCCAACCAAACTGGGCTGCCAACAGGAAGAGGCTAGCCGATTGTGGCCTCGGCTTCGGCCACAACGCCACGGGTGGAAAGAACGGAACGTATTACTTCGTCACCGATTCCTCAGACGACGATGTTGTAAATCCTAAACCTGGAACCCTACGACATGCGGTGATTCAAAAAAAGCCATTGTGGATCATATTCGCACGTAGCATGAACATTAGGCTGAGTGAAGAGCTGATCATGCAAGGTGACAAGACTATTGATGCTCGTGGGGCTAACGTCCACATTGCTTATGGTGCCGGAATTACCATACAGTTTGTGAAGAACGTCATTATCCATGGGCTTCACATTCACAATATTTACTCCGGCAACGGCGGACTCATCAGAGACTCCGTCGACCACTTCGGAATGCGGACTAGGAGTGACGGAGATGGCATTTCGATTTTCGGATCTTCCAACATTTGGATTGATCATGTCTCCATGTGGAAATGCACTGATGGGCTCATTGATGTGGTTCAGGGTTCCACCGCTATCACCATTTCTAACAGCCACTTCACTGATCATAACGAGGTAACCTACTTCGAGAATCAATTTTGCATTCTTCCAAGCTTGACCCGAATTCATGAAACAAGTTCAACCCGAATTCAAAAGTTTAAATATCGATAATATTGGTTCGAGTTTAATTCGGATTAATATTAGAAAATTGTTCACAAAGATAAAATGAGAGACTGCGGGAGATCTCGAACCATGGTAAAGTGCTATCATTTTCTATAAAAGTTGAGCACGGGTTGATCTCTCAACCTACCCAATCGGCCCATGTTACGACTTACACCCCTAATTAAATAGATGATGTGTCATTCAATCTTAGTTATAAAGACGAATATGATGCTGATAAGAAAGATGATGATGATGATGCAGGTGATGCTATTTGGTGCAAGTGATGCATACTCTCAAGATAAAATAATGCAAATTACAGTTGCATTCAACCATTTCGGAAAGAGATTAGTACAGAGAATGCCCAGATGCCGATGGGGATACATCCATGTCGTCAACAACGATTATACTCACTGGGAAATGTATGCCATTGGTGGTAGCCAGAACCCCACCATCATAAGCCAGGGTAACAGGTTCATTGCTCCCGACGACTTAACCAAAAAGGAGGTATGTATTACATAATGTACATAACTTATCATGGTTGCATGTTCATCTTAATCCATTCCCATAACTCGGATGGCAGTAGTTAGGTCTGTCAACTGATCAGAATTGAATTGCATTTCACCTGATCCAAATTCAGACCCAACTTTCATTTGAAAAATCCGACTAGAATCCGATCTGATTTTGTGACGCACATTAGTGCTATCATATAATAGGTGAACAACAACAATCCATATACTTCTAACAGGGTTTTAATTCAAACTAAACACATCGATATATATAACAAGAATGAAATCAATTGTCACACATTTTATTGAAGGTACAATGACCTTTTTATCTTTCTTGTTTTTGGGGGTGTTACAGGTGACCAAGAGGGACTATGCTGATGAACAAACATGGAAGCACTGGACATGGAGTTCAGAGTCAGATGTTCTAATGAATGGAGCATTCTTTGTTGAATCTGGAAGCCCACTTGGGTCCAAGTTCGTTGGTAACCAATATGACAAGATAACAGCAGCACCAGGTGGATATGCTGCAACAATGACCAGGTTTGCTGGTGCACTTAGTTGCAGGGTAGGAAGACCATGCTAGAAAATATACATTTTATATGTGGATTCGTCTTGAGGGGAGAGAGAGAAAGAAGAGGGAAAGGAGATTAGTAAGAGGCGATAAGAAGGAACAAATGCGAACAAATGTAATCTTTTTTTCAACAATTGGCTGAAATATTATTATATGATTTCAATATTTGACTTCTTTGGGGTCTCGGGATGATGTGAGAAGAATAGTTACCTAGTCATTTATTTTTCAAGATGTAGTTTTATATCCTGGTCTTGGTTGTTTGTTCTCGTGAATATCTCTTTGTGAGTATGGCTCATGCTATGTCTTGAATTATATTTTTTGTATCCAAATTGTCGATCAATGAAGTCATATTTTTGCCCATTCAAACCAAGAAGAAGAAGAAGAGATGACCTCGTTGTAGCTCTCTATATAGAAAGAATGCATGGACATTGAACAACATTAATTTCGATCATGATCATATGAATATTTCGCGACTTATGGTGATAGACAATCTGTTTGAGAACTACCGTATTAATCTATTGGAACTTAATTTATTAATTTAATAATGTGATTTTTTTATTAACATTAGGTTGACACTAAATTTCAAAGTTTGATGAAACCTATAATCAATCCAAGAGTTACATCTATATTCAATCTTGATCATGGGTATACATGAAATACACCGATATATATAGACAATAATAAATAATTTAGATTAGTTCAAGACCTTTGATACAATAAATTGTATTTGTAAAATACAATTTGAATAATTCTCAGTACAAATCCAAACTTATACTATCCAAGAACAACTCAACTACTTTGTTGAAACAACAGTGGTGGCAAATGGCAATTGTTATTTGCTATAAAAGATGGAAGAAAAAGCTTGACAGAAAGTTCCGTGCGCTTGTTGAACAAGAGTAACATGTGTGGATGACAATGGCAACTGGTTAGTATTGTTCATGTTTAAAAGTTTGAACTCGAGTTACACGAATTGGATTGAAATTTAAGTTTAAACTAAGTTCAACCCGGATTTAACTTTTTGGGTTACTCAACCCGAACTAAATTTCAAGTTTTTTCCGAATTAGAATTTAGTTCAATTTGGTTTGAGTCTCAAGTCGCACAACTTGACTTGAAATTTTATAAGAGTACATGAACTTAAAAAACAAATTTAAAAATTAGACTTGATAATCTCAACCATTGAATAAGTAGTGAATCTCAATAAATGTTGGGATTTACAGTGAAATCAATTGTTGAGATTATCAAGTCTAATTTTTTAGTCTACTTTTTAAGTCCATGTAGTATTACTCTTTGGATTTATCCTGAATTCACTAGTTTAAATTGGATTTGAATTGAATGCATTTTAAAGTTTTTTTCAATTCCAAAGTAGTTCAAGTGGTAATAGAAACGAATTATAAATTTATGTGTTTTAATTTTGAATCTTGATAATTTTAAATTCATGCTTTGATGCATTTTAAAGATCGAAGGGTTTTAAGAAGTTGACCTAAATGACATAGCCATTGAAGCTGCCCGGCTTTAGGCCCCTGAACCATTAGGACCAGAGATTTAATTAAATTTAATGTTCAAAAAAAATTTGTAGATATATATTCAATTAAGTTCAATTTTATTTTAGTACCCCAAAAAATAAAATTTAGATTTTTCTTAAATTGATTTGAGTTTGTTGAGAATTTGTTTATGTTTTTAATGGTAACATAAAATACCATTTTAGTCTATAATATTTAGCTTGAAGTTTTATTATTTACAATTTTATTTTTTTTTCATTGATTATATTAACGTTGAATTTAATAAAATTCTATGTTACTCTTATATCATGTATCACGCTTTATTCGAATTAACTATACTATCTAGTAAAAACAAACATGTTAACAAAACTTGAATACAAAAATCTAATAAATACTTTCACATCTCAAAAGACGGTAATATAAATAATTTTGCATAATGATTAAATCATAAATTTTATTTTAAAAATCAATAGAGCCTTATTTAAATTTCGATTTAGACTTCAATTTGTGTTGGGCTGATTAAAGATAGTATTATAAAGTAGAGAGTCCAAAACTCATAACCAATCCATTAGTAACTACAACTCAACGGGGAGGGGAAGAAAAATAAGTAAGTCAAAAGTTCATATTAGAAAAGAAATTCATAACAATAAATAAAAACAGAGGGGATATCAATTCTATTAATATGACTAGGGGTCGAAACTTTGGATGATCTTCATCTTTTGTTTTACCTTGCTCGTTAATATATAAAGTCAAATAAACATATCTTGAGTTGGTACGAAAATTGGAACCCCAATAGCTGGAAAGGTAAGATTATTTTCACCCCACAATTCTTCATTTTCACCCCCATTAAATTATAAATCATAAAATTACTAAATTCATCTCATCTATACCTACCTCACTAATAACTAAGTTCATCTCATTTTCTACTCACTCTATTAATAATTAAATTTATTTCAATCTTTATTTTAGGGTTTCTTGTTATAACCAATCTTACACAATTTATACAATATATATTCAACTCAATTATCTATTAAAACTGAACAAACAATTATGTATAAATTATGTGATTCGAGGAGTGAGACTCAATGATATTTTTCTTTTCCTTTTCAAAAAACTTAGTTTCAGATGCGATATCTAACGAAGGAACAATGAAGACTCTAATAGATTTATATATATATTGAGAAATTATGTGGGAAGAAGATATTTTTTTTATTCGAATTTTTTCAACTGACGATTGAGAAAGGAAGAAAGAAAAGCGTATAGTAGAATCGGAATATTATTTTGACGATAATATTAGAGAAGATAGAGACCGGATGACGAAAATTGAAGCAACTTGCATGAAAGAAACCCATAGTGAAATCCATTTAAGTATATTTTGTGTGAGATAGGTATAGAAAAAAAACCCTAAAGGTGAAGATTGAAATAAGTTTATTATAAATGGGGTGAGTATAGAATGTAGTGAACTTAATTATTAGTAAGGCGGGAATAAAATAGGTGAACTTAATAATTTTATGATTTATATTTTATTAAGGTGAGAATAGAGATTTATGGGACGAGTATAACCCCATAAATTACAGACATGATTACTATTTTTGGAGGTGGCTCCCCTATTCTTTCTCCTAATGTATGGTTGTTTTTTTAGCATCCTTTTGAAAGTTTATAAAAACTTTTCAAATCAAAAGCATCATTACGTTGGGTATGTCACTGTTGCTTGCTTAGAAATCGACTTGGATTTTCGTTCTCTAAGGCTGGTCTAGAAAGGTCTGGCCCCAAAGCACAAGGGAACAACCCTAGACCAGAAACATACGTACAAAATGGAGGCAGCTAAGACCATGTGGTTTCTGGTGTTTTTCTTTGCCATTGCTGCAATGATTCCGACCTTAATGGCCAACATTGCCCGTTTTGATTCTGTATGGCAGAAGAGAGCTGAGGAAGCAAGGGACTATGCACTCAAGGCCTATGTCCCATCCTCAAAATGTCACCAAGGGCTTCAACAGACATGTTCACAGGTGGGTTTGATCCTGCTCCATTCCTTTTTGATTTTCAATGACTCGTATCGTCCAATATTGTGCATGCAGGATCTTACACAATATAAACATGAGAATAAATCTCTCCTGTGGTGAACTTGAGTCCGTCAATCAAATGGTCAACCTTGCTATTTGGAGCAGCTTGAGATCCGTTGGCGGCCTGGAACGGCAATGAGTGACTTTCGTGGATCAAGGGAGCGGTTCAGTAAGGCTGATGAAGGTTACTGGAATAGAGAAATACAAGTTAGAAGGGCGCCGGAGTGTTTTTCGGCGTATTCCCTCCGACGATCAAGTCAGTTTTTTGAGAGAGGGAAAGAAAAAAACACTGAGTATATGTTTTTTTTGTTGCATACCGTCTTGTCTTTTGTGAGGAGTATTTATACCTCAAAAACTCATGATTGCTGTCAGTGTGGTCAGTAGATGATCATTAGATACGGGCAACGTGCATACTGATTCCTATGAGGAATGTCTTCTCTTTTAACTGCTCGGAACCCCGAGCAACCAATGCTGCGTCATCGGCCTGTCGAATGTTTAATGAGCTCCTCTCGGCAAGGGTGTAATAAATGCCCAGTCTTAGGGACATTTATTACCTTTCACTTCCGAGCCTTACTGCATTAAATACTGTCTCATCAAGGGAATGATGTAATTAAATGCTTGCTTCCCCAAATCGTGTGTCAGCAAGGGTTTCTGGTCTTTTTGTCTCTGATGTGACACAATATGCCACGCGCCCATTCCCCATTGGCTGTGTCTTCTACCTTCCTGTGCCTTCTGACACCAATTGTGTAAGACGAGGTCATGATGACTAACCTAGCCTAGTCTAGGCTAGTGACCTGTACACCAATAGCCACTGCAGGAGCAGAGAATGCCATCCTGGACGGGTACATATCAGTACCGAGGGGAGTGGTACATGTAGGGACCGATGTACCCATATCCGATCGAGGGATACGTGTCGGTACGTAATGTACTGGGTGTTATTGATCCCTATGACCAGTACCTCAGGGGAACAGGAACTAGAGATCTGACGTGTACGTGTCGTGATTACAGTAACAAGATTTCACTGATGCCGAGGACACGTGTCTTCATCTTAGAATTTTTTGGAAATGTCCCATCAACTGCCCCCCCAGCCTTCAATCTCCTAACACCGGGGACACGGGTTGTAAGGAGACGAAGGGTTCTGCAACTACCCCAACCACTTCATCATTGCCTTCAGTCGTTTTCCCCTGCTTCGGAGGTTGTGCGCATTAAATGCGCCTCTTCGTGCTTCGTGCCCAAATGATGGGGACGGGTACTATATAAATGGGCTTCCTCTCTCCCTCTCTCACTTTGCCATTTTGGATTTCTTCAGAGAGCCCTTGCTTGAAACCTCGCCGGAGATCCCTTTCTTCGCTGTCTACTGTCCAATCTTTCACCGGAGTCTCAAGGTCAGCAGATCCATCCTTGTTTCTAAACATTCTGGAGGAAGGAGTCGTTTCAAGTTTTTAAGAAA